AATAATAATAATAATAATAATATAATATATTATAAAAATAATAAACGATTATTTGTAAGTGGAACGTTATTGTGTTTTCCGCTGCATTGCTGCAGTGCATGCAGTGATGCGTTTCGGTGGCTCGCAACAGCAGTGATAAGCGAACTGCGGGAACGCAATGATGACCATGATGATGATGCAACGTCTGCTCCAGAACAACAACAATAACAACAACTCCAATAACAATAACAACAACAATAACGTTTACGCAGACGAGATGAGGCTGAACGGCATACGTCACCATTCAGCAAGTCCATTTTCGAAACCAGCCGCCGTGCAGGCTGCGGCGCCCGACAGCTGCGTCGCCGAACCAGACGCACTGACGTCAGCCGGCTGCAACGAGCAGCAGCTACAGCCCGTCTCGCCACAGTTGACCAGCACCGGTACCACGGCGACCACTGTCGCACAAACCGGACCGACGTGCACTACCGTGGTGACCGTGGCCGCGGCAGACGACCGGCTATCGTCCGACGAGGACGACGAGCTGAACGTGGACGAGCTGAACGTGGACGAGCTAAACGTGGACGAGGACCCGGTGGACTTGACCAACAACCGGTTGCACGGCGGCCGGGTTGGCGCCGGTCACGGATTGCTGAGCTGCGACCGCGGCGTCGGCGGCCTGCACCAACAGACTGCAGGAAGCGCGGCGGCCATCGTCCCGATGGACAGCACGGCCGCGGCCAACGATTACGAGACGAGTGGCAACAGCAAGGGCCGGCTCGCGTTTTCCGTCGAGAATATACTCGACCCGAACAAGTTCACCAGAAAACTGATGGCGCCCTCCACTGTTCTGCCCAGGTGGAGGCCGCGCGTCGATTTCTCCACCGATCCTTCTGGAGCCGGTGAGTGATGTTTTTTTATTATTATATACGTCACAAATAAAAGTATTTTTTATGGACTTATGGTACGCATCGCACACGGTTATATTTAATTTTACGATTGATTATAATCATTTGAGGCTGCTGAGATTTCGACGCATTCAACATTTTCCAAAGTTATGACTATTAGATGACGCTAAATAATCGTTTTATAACGGCCGGTATACGTTTCATAAACATTTTTTCAGAATCACGACTATTATTCTTTTTTTTTTCAACGAGTTTTATATGTTATATTTATTTTTTTGAACATTTTAGGGCATTTTACTGTGTAAAAATCCAGTCTTTTTTAATATTACATTTTTATAATTTTTTCCCTTTAAAGTATCCTATAATAGTTAAATGTAGCTGAACAAAATTTTTACCTAATCGAATATTACTAATCGTCATTTTTTCGAGCAACGTATATAATAATAGAAAAAATATTTTATAGCATTTTATAGTGTTCTGATTTTTTACTATTGCATAAAATCATTTTTGGGGTTGTTTAAAGACATTGTACATTTTTAATCCTATAATAAATTAATATATTATACCTAATATTACATAATTAATATTATATTGTTGTAATATTATTATAATTTGACATGGAGACCGATTTACGTTTCTGTGGTGAAAATTGGACCTGTATATAATATARTATTATAGTACGCACATCTAAATATATTACATAATAATATTATATTACCTACATCGTGGAAAATAATRACACTCCCCTTCCCCTGCACGTCATCATTCACACTCCAAACGTGTTAATAGTCGATTGCAGTCCGGTATAATGGTAGATTTCATACTTTTATTATTCTATCTATTATTTAGTTATTCCAACTATATAGGCATAGACAAAAATATATACCTGCTGATGACGGCAGCTATACTGTCATACTGAAAACAGTTTATTATATTTTATTATTCGTATCTATACAAAATATAATTTTATATCTATGTACCTAATATTATATTATGTTAAATTCGAAAATAATCTGTCTGCTTGTTGCGTTTTCATGATGACTAAACCGATTTTGATGAAATCTGTATTGAGAACCGAAGAAAAGACATTATTTTATAGGCATCATTTTTTATTATTATTTTTTTTTTTTTAATCAACCCTTAAGGAAATGAAATTAAATAACCACGCTATAATGCGTGATTACGGAAATATCAACTGCATGGATATAAATTTGAAATTTTAAGATGAGGGTATTAATTTTACATTGTTGTCATCGTTTAAAAAGTGATTTTTAGAATCACTATTTATAGAAGTGTTTGTGATTTGTGAGGTAATATTTTTATGTTAAATTTTATTTGAAACTATTATTGCCTTTTGGTATTGATGACGATTATCGTCGTCAAAATTAGCGAATTTCGACGTTTTTCAAAATTTAAAAGGTATGAAAGGTGAATGGCGTTAGCAAAGTTTTAGATTTTAGTGATAATTTTGGCTATTGCAAATAGGTATATGTCTTACTGTTTTTATAAGCATACAAAAAATTATGTTTGGCATATTATTAATGTTGTTTTTTGTTTCTCTTACTCATCATCACTCATCATAACAAAACTACTGATATTCGAGCAAAACCGCGAAAAATAGCTTCAGCTAATATATATACTTATTCTTTTAATAATAGAAAAACTCAATAAGTAGATTGTTACAATAGCAAAGTTTATGTTATTTATAAACGTGCAATGCCTGTATACAGTTTATATACCTTTATTTGAAGATATATAGTTTATATACCAAAATAATAGGTTGGGTTATTTCTTTTTCTTCTTAAATCATTAAATGATTAAATAAAATTATTTTATTCTATATCATTAATGAGTTGTAGTGTACGATTTATAATCATAATTTTCACGTAGAAATACAACATTCGTAGGTACACCATTCGTAGATTATTTCTTACCTGCAGTCTTTTGTCTGTAAATAAATTACTTACTTCCATATTATATAGGTACTTATTGTGAAATTATATTTAGATTGAATGTATGTAAAATATTTGTTTTAAAAAATATTTATAGCTGTGATAATTTATACGACTTATTTTATTAATTCATTAATTGAAAATAGTTGCCAATTGTAAAAATTGGAGTAATTAATTTTGTATACACATTAACATAAATTATGGTTTTAAAATAAATTTAAAATACAATATTGAATAATGAAATGATCRTATATATTGACATAATTAAWTTAATTATATGTCGACAAATAACATAATGGATAAAATTTTTATTTTATTTTAAATATTTGAAAACCAAATAAATCACGGCAATATAATGAGTTTTATTGACCACAAAATATTTTATATTATAATGTTATGCAGCTTTTTGTAATAATAATTACATTCATATGCCTAAATTAACACAGAAACATTTCCCATAATTTTGTACGGTTACTTCATTATAAATTCATAACATATTATGTAACGATCATAATAACATTTATTGAAAAATGATCTTCTTGTTTTAGGTTTCTAAACACGAGTTTAGGACACCTAAAATCACCGTTGTGTCTATATGTTTGTTATCACTTATCAGTACATACCTACATAGTAATAATTACTATTGATGATATTCAGATATATTTTATATATTCACTATATTATTCGTAGTTAATTTACATAGTTACGATTACTGCTTTTAGGATAATATTATTTTTATGGTTATAAGTATTTAAKAAAGATCCATACTATCCAGCATCCAAAATAATATACTACCAAAATATAAAGGCAACCAAATCCTTTTTAAACGTAATTTAGGATAATATAGTTTATTGCATTGTATTAAAATACAACAGGAATCCGCAAATTTAGAACGCTCGTAAGGTGACCTTTCCCAACTTCTCGTATTTTTTACATTCGATTCACGTGTTCAGTATTTATCGATCATAACATTTCAATTACATCTGGTAATTTTTAACTTACAATTTTTGAATTTAAATTGACGGACAAAAGGTTAGGTATTGGCGGACGCAACAATATTCGTTTACCTATTAGGTAAGCTACCTATATCATTATTCGTATATACCTATATATCAGCCCAGCTATGGCATTATAGGAATAAAACTTGGTTATATGTTTAAATAAACATTAAATAATATAAAATCTATATTAAACTACGTATAACAAATAAAACACGGAAAGAGCAAAAAAAAAAAAAAAATTGAGTATTTTGAATAGTTTTGTTTTTGTGTAATTTATATTCCGAAAATGTCAGTTGAATATTTTAAATCTACCTGCGTGTGTAATATTTTTAAACACAATGCGCATAATACACCTGTCATCAGAGTAAACCGTTGGCTTGAAAATAATGTAGTGGAAAGTTAAAAAAAAAAACCTGAATAAACGTAAACAAAACGTCAGTTGTTTGTTACAAACGTTTTTTCGAAAGCTTTTAATACAAATCTTTTATTCAAGTTTAAAAAAGAATCTTTAACGCCATAGTTTTAACAACTTTGTATACTTTAATACATCCATAAAGCAACAAAAATCAATAGCGTGCTTAAAATAATAAAAATCAACAACTATTTGATCCAATTAAGTGAGTTTAAGATGAGTCAATTTTTTTAAAAACTTTTTTAGCGTGATCTAAACCATATGTTATATATTATAACTTTTTAAACAGTTATTAATATTTTAATAAATATTTAAAKAAACTTACTGCATTTAAATTATGARATACTCGATTTATATCGATACTGCAGTAAAACTATAGCTGCTGATTTCTCTATACGCGTTTATATTTTATCCATAGAAAAATCAAAATTTACGTGATTAAGAGTTATATGCTAAAAGCTAAAGTTACACAAATTAGGCGCCCAATGATATATATTAATACTTATGTACAAATATATGCGCACTGGAAATATTATACCTATATTATATTTAGTTGTAAACAATTACCTACTCGAACTATATTTGTAAAACCATACCTAATGTGCCATATGTGCGGTAATTAATTCAATTTCGGTGATATTAATAGATATTGTGTTTTATTATGCCCATAATGATGTCATGGCGTGAATAATTACAAAAACTCTCAGTAGTATAGTTAAAAAAYATTATTACGGCAATCGAGTAGTGAAAATTGCGAAACAAGTTATTAATAACAACCGCTTCATATARTGAGGATAGAATTTGATAAATAGTGTGTATACCTATTATATTTTATTTTCAGTATTCGCATAGTTTGATACTCTRGTATTATATTGACGTTAAATCTTGAAGTTATAACTATGTAATTTATAGTTAAATGTTCGACATTAAACACCGTTTTTGAGAAATTTGAAACAGAATTGACTAAATCATTATTTCATTTATATAGAATATAGTAATATACTATTATAGGTATATTATAGCCTATATAGGATACTTCGAGAAAACAACAATCTGATGTTTAAATACATACAGCTACTCTAAATAATAATTCCTTAACAATATCAATAGTTATGTTCGTAAATTTGAAGTTCTCTCAGATATTATATATGTTTATTATATTACCACGCTATTATAATCACTTGACATATGTCGAACGAAGTGGTTGAAAACTTACAAAACTTCTTTAATTTAAAACTCAGAAGTTAAATACTTTTAGCTGAGTGAAATATTACTCATCGTCTTTAATATCTATYTAAATAAACGGAGAGTGCGGGAAAAATCCACGATTTCTTTATCTGTGCCAGGCGTAAAAAAACTTTTTAATCTGATCCGCCCGTAAAATTAATTGAAATAGTTGAACCGAAAAAACGATTGTATTCCGCACTCCGGTCAAGTAGGGTAATTTTCAGAATTGCTTTTTCCCCCATCTGACTACGACAGCCGCCTGACCGGTTATGTGATTTCGTTAAAATATATAATATATATATATATACACCTGAAACCTAAAAAACGTATAATAATATGTATTATAAGTCTATAAAGTATACCTATACACCTGTAAAATCACATATTGGTATGTATTTAATG